TTTTAAAGTATGCATATGTCTCTTCTTGTTAAGTCTACACTTCACTTAGCTAACTCCTTTCGCTTTTTGTAACAAGTATACGTTTAAGTAAGGGCTTAAAGCCAGGAGGGGTGCGATCGCACCGCCCCCCCCGCATAACCAATGAAAATATGACCATGATGATAGAGGAAGAAAAGAGCCTTAAAATTCTCTTTTCGACCGGGTACCGGGTACTAAGTTTGAACCCAGCATGTAGGATTTACTACCCGGTACCCGGTTTTTTCTACAAACCCTATTTTGAAGCAAATTAACTTTAAAATGGTATATAGTTTTGGATGTTTTAGTGCAACCATATTGTTGTTAACATGTATAGTTTGTTAGGTAAAGTGTATTGTAGGGTGATGTTGAGGACTCGTTGCTTTCTCCCTAATCCGAGCAGATATACAGAACGGGGGGGGGGGGGGGGTTGGCAGGCAGTCTCCGTCTACCAGTCACAAACCTACTCATTCGGAATCTTTCTATTTCACTCAGGGCTGAGAAGAAATGAGGTGTCATGATTTATCATGATGAACTCCTCTCTCCGATAGAAAAGTTAGTCAATGCATCCCAGAGATACATTCACTCTCATGTCTGTCCCCCGGCTCTAGATCTTTATAGTGAGTCGAAAAAGAATGGACACATGTACGATTTTGTTCATGAAATCATGGGTCACTGCCGTAGATGCTAAAAGCCATTTAGTCAAAGAACAATCATGAAAGGGGTACCTTTCTTTAATTTTTTAAAACATTCAAATATATTTCTAAATATATTTAACAAAAATTGTTTGACTATCTTTAGAGTCAAGTATACAGTTGTATACATTAACTTACTCTGACCTCATTTTCATCCGAAAGAAAATCTTTTCATTTCAATGAATCAGTAGGTTCTTAAATAAGTGAAACAACAAAAAAGTGTTTGGAGCTGTAGAAAGTATATTGTATAATTACACGTAATGTTACATAAGATTACATAACAAAAAAAAATTACATAGAGTTACATAAGATTACATAATAAAGTAATCAGAAAACAAATCTTCCAAAACCTCCAGATTCAAAAATTAGTGTTCTCCATGTTATAGTTCCCTTTTGTGTTCATGGTATCCATTGCTTTCAGTTAATTTTTGCCATCCAAATACAGTATCATATCTTTAAAACTTATTTAAGAAATAAATCATGTCTCAAAGCACACTTTTGCATTGTACATTAAACTAACAAAGACACATGGTGAACAATATAGCACCCGTCATACATGTAGACAAGCCTCGACAGACAAGATTAATTAGGACCAAAAATAAAAGGCCGCCCTAACGTATGCCAAAAAACTATTCCTGCTAATTCTAAATTTCGAAACAGAAGATATCCCTGAAAATTTCAGATGAATCAATGTCGTAGACAAGCCTTAAAAGACAAGATATTAGGACGGAAAATCCCATTTTGAAAACCGAAGACAAAGCCTATGTATGATGTATGGGAAGTTGCCTTCTATTGAGAGCCCATGTTAAGAAGTATTTTATGATGATCGTCCATGGGGCTTTATAAAGCGGGGAAAAACGTTTTCATAACACCCGTCTTTCAAATAAACACCCATGGGCCTATTCGCGAGAAACTCCAGTAAAACACCGACCATATCATTTGTGTAAATTAAAAAGACCAACCATATTTGTAGGCCTAACCTCAAATTATATCATTCGATTTTGAATCCTGGGTTTTGAATACATACCGATCGTAGGCAACGTTTTTTATGCATTACAGTGGTTTGATTGAATTTTTAATGAAGAAAAGCAAGATTATTTCTATTGCATCTAGTCTATTGCGCAATTTTGATCATATTATGGATAAAACAGCAAAGATAAACAATTTTGCAATGCTGGCCTTATTTTATGACAAGAAACTGGGTAGACTCTGGACGGGACTCTGGACCGGTAGACATACATTGTATGTAGACATATGAGTGTAATGCTACAAATCTACAATTCAGCACTAGTACTGTCAACCCCTAAAGATTTTCTCGCGGGACAGATTTTTTAGACCCAGTGCCCAAAATTCGCGGGATTTTGCGGGACATCTACTAAATTCGCGGGATTTCGCGGGACATTTAAGGGATTTGCGTGATTGCGCTAATAGGCCAACTTTTTTTCTTAAATTCGCGGGATTTCGCGAGACCATTCGAGGGACAAACACCCTAATTGCGGGATAGTTAACAGGTTTAACACCAAAAACTTGATAGAGGGACAGATTTTTTAGACAAAGTGCCCTACATTTGCGGGATTTCGCGGGACATTCACTTAAATTTGCAGGATGTCCCGGGACATTCAAGGATTTGCGTGATTGGGACTAATGTAAAAGCGTGTAAAAGTACTTAAATCAAACTCATTGCACAGAATTGGTCGAATAGCCGATAGATGTCATTCATTGATTAAACATGACGTCATATTTGAGATCTTAAGATAAATCTGACGTCATGACGTCAGTGCCATAGAAACTGAGATTGTCTTGTTTTATTTTGACGTCATTCGAATGTAATGAACCAGTTATATCACCAAAAGTTAACATATTTTGTTTGAAATGCGCCGAAAAGTTAAAGGTATGAGGATTCTAATCTCAACGGAATCAAACAGATCTACCTTCAAAGTTACAGAAACCTGAGATGACTAAGATACCATATGATTTTAAGTACCTCTACCAGATCGTTGAATATCCTCATTTCACCATTTTGACGCCATTTCTAATGGATTTCAATGGAGTCATGCATGAATTCCTCATGATTTTTTCAAAACAAATTGGCCGAAAAGTGTGCATGTGTACATTGCTTAAAACATGTTAAATCAGTAAAGGTTGATGTCTAGTTATAGAAACCTGAGATGACTAAGGTGGCAAATCAATATCATTCGCACAGTAAGCGTTCGAAAAATGTCTCCATTATAAATCCCATAGGCTTTCGAAAACCGGAAGTAATGGGTCTGCGCATGCGCAGTGAAATATTGGACAAATTTTGTGCAATGTTCCAAATACTGATTAATCAAATACAATGCACCGTTGTATTGTAACTTAAATAAACGTCAACACAATTTCACAAAATACGTATAGGAATAGTATTAAACTTTATTGTAATTTTTCAAAAGCAAAAACCATGCTTCAGGTGTGAGTACCGTAATCTAACACGAAATTCAAAAATTCGGAACAATACTTTGCATTTCTGGCGTCGTGAACAACTATGAAACGCTTACCCCCATAATGTTATATATTAAAATGTACCTATTCATATACTGTAGGCATTTTCTTTCAATTGAAAGCCCATGATATAGGGGTTCGATTAATCTACATCAAATTATAGGGAATGGGGTTACTTTTCTAGATAGGGTTTGTAGAAAAAAACGGGTACCGGGTAGTAAATCCTCCATGCTGGGTTCAAACTTGGTACCCGGTCATAAAAACCGGGTACCCAAAAACGAAATATACGAATATAGGCTACAACATAATTAGATCATTAGAAAACGTGTAAGATTTGTTTTGAATTTACAAAAATGTATGTAACTTCCTTCAAAATTGAGCTAGAAGCTTCAAAGAAAAAGCATTTTAAGGCTCTTTTCGTCCTCTATCATCATGGTCATATTTCCCTTGGTAATGAAGGGGGGGGGGAGGAAGAAAAGAGCCTTAAATATGCTTTTTATTTGAAGCTTCTAGCTAAATTTTGAAGGATGCATACATTTTTGTGAATTCAAAACAAATCTTACACGTTTTCTCATAATCTAATTATGTTATATATTCGTATTTTTCGTTTTTTGGGTACCCGTTTTTTGACTGGGTACCAGGTACCAAGTTTGAACCCAGCATGGAGGATTTACTACCCGGTACCCGGTTTTTCTACAACTGAACCCTTTCTAGATATCAGCGTCCATTTATTGTAACTCGCGTTTGCTAACATTTGCTCAGTTCTGAGATGAAGGCCACACGGATAGTAAAAAGGCCAACGTTAGAACTATTTTTGACCTACATCCCTATTTTCGTAATTAAAATGAAAGTTGAACCCTTCCTCTTTATTTTGATACCAAACAACAGCATGCTAGCATGGGCTTCTAATTGAAAGCCCATGATGCTAGGTACTTAAAATTAGGTAAACTTTACTCCTCAAAAGTGCAAAAACTTGGCTTCTTATATAAGATAAGATAATCACAATATAGGGGATTGCAACAATTTCGGAAATTCGCGGAGGTCAAAACCACATTTGCGGGACTTCGCGGGACATTGCGGGACACGCGAATAAGCCTAATTTTGATCAAATTCGCGGGATAATCCAGCCATTCGCGGGACACTTGACAGCTCTGGAAGCTTCAAATAAAAAGCATTTTAAGGCTCTTTTCTTCCTCTATCATCTTGGTCATATTTCCATTGGTAATGAAGGGGGAGGGGGGGGGTGCGTTCGCACCCCCACCTGGCTACGCCAATGACATTGTAAGACGATTTGAAAAACAAGACAAATCAATCTTACTCTATTTTCAATAGTTCGTATGTTGGTACGTGAATTGTTTTGATTATGATTTAAATCTGTAAATAGCTATCGTTGCTTTAGCAGAGAGGTGACGTGTGTTAATTTGCATGATGCAACGTGTAAAATTTTGATTATTAATCATAATTTAAGTTATCCCAATTTATGACAAAATGTCCACTGAATTGTAAATTGTTATGTCTTACAATGTCATAGGCGTAGCTAAGAGAGGGTGCGATGGTGCGATCGCACCCCCCCCCCCCCCCCATAACCAATGAAAATATGGCCATAACGATAGAGGTCTGCACAGGTGATTAGATAATCTTAATATTTTAAAATTTAAACCCTTCAAAGACTGTATCATGGTCCGCGTACGTGGGTACGAGATACGACTCAAAGTGGCCATAGAATATGGTAAGTGGTGGCACGACGCCTTTTGCTTTGGTTCTTGGCGAATTTCGTGAGTCCAAAATTCAATCGTACTTCCGGAAAGATACTTTTGAATATTTTTCACTTTTCTTAATTTTTCAAATAAATAGTCAATTACTGGAGTGATATGGCAATATAATCATCGAAACGTGACTAATATCAACATAATGTTTCATGGCTACATGTCTGCTGCAGAAAATATATATGTTGGTGTGGTCGGATCAATTTTCTGAAACGAAGCTGTCTTCTGTGGAAGAAAATGCTACGAATTGTCATGGCAACAGTAAAAAACAAACTTCCACTAGGTGGTGAGTAATCTTATCAGCTTTTTCTTTTATCTTTAAATATTTGTTTATGTTTTTGTGCATTGAATCTCATCTTTAACCTTTCGGTGGGTGAACAGAAGAATCCCCCCTCCATAGTCATTATTTCTATTAGTCCAACAGCATTAGACCTAGCCTGGAATTCGTTTCTTATCTGACATATCTTATGGCACTGGCTAGGTCTAACCTCCATGATCATTTTGCCTTTGATGCGTTAATTTAATCGTTCCACGGGTTGCGACAAGCGGAACTAATTAAACCCTGAGAACATAGTAATATTACATAAAGAATGTGATTCAAGCATGCATACATACCTTATGAATACATACACACCATCACGTATCGCCCTTAGACCCTTTTGATGCATAATTACGAAAATATTAGAGACAGGTTTGGAATATAACGATAATGTCGGTCAGTTCTGGTAACATCGAAATTGCAAATCATATCAGAAATTAACTGACTAACGTCATTGTGGCACTGCATTAACAAACAGTAGTTTTGCAATCAATAACTATTTTGCGTGTATACACGCGCTATATAAATCAATCAATGATGCCTGTTATCCTCAAAATTGATCTTTTTATCCCGAGATAATAATTATCAATCTGTTTGACAACAATTTCGTTTCGCTATTGTTTAATTTTAACCCGGGACGAACAGACACAATGACGGACATGAAGAAATGTCATTTTAGAGATAGGTACGTGTAGCCTCATTTTAATGAATAAATGAACATTTAGCACAATAATATTGTGTTAAATCGCTTGATGTTATGTGTTTTTATATTATTGTCAAGTGTCAGATGCATGTTATCATGGAAAAATGGTTTTGATGGATCTAGAACTTGCAATAAAGGAAAGAATAGTAAAGAGGTTAATTACCCAATAACGGCCAAGAAAATTCCTAGTAGTAAAGAACGCCGTTATTGAGTTTAACGACGTTGAACTATATTTCTATGTGCAGAATAGATGGGGTGCCCTGCCCCTAGTGACTTTGACTTTTGGGGTTTTAATACACTAGGGCTGGTGTTTAATGTGTATTAAATTTGGCAAAGTTGAAAAAAATTTTGAACCACTGGGGTTGATTTCTTCCAATCCCCAGATATAAAGGTTCTTATATGAGTACCTGTGCAAGATCGTTCATTCTTGATGAGCTTTGATAATTCTTTTTTATCGAGTCGTAGACGAGATAAAGAAACATTATCAAAGCGAGTCAAGAATGGACGATATTGCACAGGTCCGTGGGATTTTGCCCCATCGAGTCCCACGAGGTCCCATAAGGTCCCACGTGGGACTCGGTGGGACTCGATGGGGCAAGATGAGGCAAAATCCCATGGAGTCCCATCGAGAATGAACATATTCATTCTTTCCATGAGGCATCGTGGGATTTTCGATCATATGACGTGTTGTGTGAAACCCGACATACACCAATGGGGCACGGTGGGATTTTATGGGACTCCATGGGGCTTGATGGGACTCCATGGGACAAGATTGGGCAAAGTCATCAAGGTCCCATGGGACTTCGTGAGATTCGATGGGGCAAATTGGGATTCGATGGGGCAAGGTGGGACTCGATGGGACAAGTGGGATTTTGCCCCATTGGTGTATACCGGGCTTTAGTCATATGAGAAATAAAAATCATGATTTATTAAAATTAATTCAAATGGGCCCACTTCCTGTAGGCATTCAAGATTTTGGCATGATGATAACATATAGGTTCGAAAAGTAAATAACCTGGGTTGTTCCTTGCATTGTCACATTTTGTTCAGTGAATAAATTGTAAAGTTTGACCATCGCTTCGTGAAATCAATGTAATAACTTGATCAAAATACCATTATTTACCCCAGCAAAACCATAACCATTTTGAAGTCAAGTAGCGAGCAATGTAATGGTGCAAGAATTTTTTTGATTAAGGTAAGGAACTCCGAGAAAAAGCAAAAAACTCCAGATTTGGAGGTTTTGAACTCTCAACTCAGCCAAATTTAATATGGCAGCAAATGCATCTCTTGGTCAGTGACAAATCTCAGATGTATAAATAAAGCCCCTGAGGTGCATTTATGCACCTAAGTACAGAAAAAAGAAAAAATAGGGTAAATTAAAAGAAATTGCCTTAGTTATTTATAAAATATCAACTAGCCATGATAATTCCCCCAGTAGACTTGCCTAAAGACATGTGCAGTAAAACCTGTGAAGGACCACTATAAGGAATTGCATTGCAAGGAACACTGCCATAATTAATTCACTATTTTGAGGTAACAAAGGTGTTTTCCACATACAAAAGCTTTAAACAAACATTATCCAAAAGCAGATTTACTTACTCTCATCTATTTATAGGGTCAACAAGGAAAATCAATGCTAAGCCTCCACGTCCTCCCAGGGCGAAGTCCACTAATGCAAGCCCAAGTAATACGCAAACCAGGACGTTTAAAACAGCGACTACGACCACAGCTGGTGGTAAACCAAAGGCCAGTCTTCCAAGAGTAAACTCAGAATCATCGTTGAATGACAGATTAAAAAATCTATCAATAAACGACAGAACCCAGTCTAAAAATAAATCTAATAGTAAATCAAGGTGAGTCGGATGTGCTCTTTGAAGTTGTAACACCAAGTACAGAAGTATAATGCACATTGAATGAATATTTTGCCCTAAAGGGTTAATAGCCTAATAGCTGTAAATCTCATCCCAAATAATCCTGAGATATTTTAGATAATGAAATATAATTTTTACAATAAATAGACATCTTTTCTGAAAATATCAAATCTTAAATCACAACATAATGAATGGGATATATTAATAATATAATCCAGTACATAAAGTGATGTTTCTCATACTTGAGTGGGTTTGGGGTAAATATCACTCGGGAATAGATATCATATCTGAGGCAGGCAGGATATATTGTATATGTCCGCTCCAGGTCAAATGCGGGCAGATATAATATATCCATCCTGCTCATTTAAAGTTTTAAACTTTCAAAGTTTAAATTTTTTTTAAAAGTTTAAATGTTTCAATTTCATTGTATTGAATGAAAGGAATATTATGAAAATGTTAAATATAAATTGCGCTTTTACAGTATAGGCTTACCTTGTCATTTGAAAAGGTGGAACCTCAAACCCACTCTAGTATGAGATACACCAGTTATGTACGGTTGGTTTTCAATATAGGGTATATCCAAAACCTCCCAGTACATAACCCTTGTATATATTTCAGCAGCACAACTAGGAAGTACTCCACTAATGCTGTTACCTGTCATAACCTAGAAGACGTGGCCAGGTACATCACCAGCAAACGAGCAAAAAATATTGTTGTCATGGCAGGTGCGGGAATATCCACCCCTAGTGGCATACCAGATTTCAGGTCAGTTTTGTACATCAGATATTAAAAGTGTTGACTTTACCATGATATATTTCAGGGTTGTTCTATACGTTATTAAAGTATGTCAGTGGATCTTTATACAATATCTTAATAGGCCCCTCTTTCTAAAATTGTAACATATTTATGTTATCGTACAATTTTAATAGCCAGGTTTATCAGACCCCTTTAGAGAATGATGGTTCTGTATTTATTAATATTAGCCTATCTTACAGGACCCCTGGAACAGGACTGTATGATAACCTGATGATCCTGTATTTATTAATGTTAGCCTATCTTACAGGACCCCTGGAACAGGACTGTATGATAACCTGATAACCTGATGATCCTGTATTTATTAATGTTAGCCTATCTTACAGGACACCTTGAACAGGACTGTATGATAATCTGAAGATCTTGTATTTATTAATGTTAGCCTATCTTACAGGACACCTGGAACAGGACTGTATGATAACCTAAAGAAGTACAGCATACCCTACCCAGAGGCAATATTTGATATAGACTATTTCCACCGCAACCCAAGACCATTTTTCGAGCTTGCTAAGGAGTTATACCCAGGGAAATACCAGCCAAATTACGTGCATTATTTTGTTAGGATGTTATATGAGAAAGGATTGCTTTTGAGAATGTATACACAAAATATAGATGGTCTTGAAGGACGTAAGTTTTTTTAAAGTTCAATGAATTAGTTATTATTATTTGGGTCATATTCAAATGCATATTGTTTAGAAAGATAAAGGGATGACAGAAAGTGACAGACGACTTAAAAATGGTACCTTTGTAACTTATAAAAAAAATTATAATGTTTAGATATACATGTTTACATCACTAATGCTATTAAAGTCAAACATTGCGTAGATATTAGATTATATCATTATGTCAGGTTTAACTGAACTTAAAATATAAGTGTCAGGCCCGTAGCCAGGATTTGTCAAGGGGGGTTCACTTTTTGAAAAATCTTACATGTAGAGTGTTTTACATTGCAGTGGCAGGGATACCTCCAGAGAAGATAGTTTCTGCTCATGGGTCATTTCTGACTGCTTCTTGTGTGCAATGCAGCTTTCCCCACAAAGGGGAGGAGATAAGGGTCAGTGTACTATTGTTATTACATTATCTCACTCTCAAAATACCTGCTTCATACTATGTGACTTTTTCGTGAAAAAATCAGACCGTAGATTCTGTTTCTTTGCCCCAAGCATCATAATTTGTGAATTATTAATGTATGGCACAAGACAACAGAGTTACTGTAGCAGCCTATTGTTACAAATCCATAAGGTCACCGACCATATGTTGCATATTTCTTAAGTATCAACCATACAAATTATTTAAAAGACATATTAAAAATGTCACTACGATTTATTCCAGTTGGATTCCAGCAATCCTTGTTCATCTTATGACTTAATAAATTAACTGTTAACTAGGTGCATATATTAAGCTGTTGCTGTTCTTTCAGGACACTATCTATGCAGGCAAGCTACCAAAGTGTAAGAGGAGAGGTTGTATGGTATGTATAACTTGAGGAATATTTTTGGGCCATGTTAGGGCATGTAGGGATGATGGTAAAACAAAAACCTTCAGTACTTTCAAGGTTTACAGCATTGGTACACAATTTTGCCAGTTGACCTCAAGAGAGGTCTACAATTATATACAGCTTTTACATTTAGATAAGATTTAAAACAAAGTAAGAGCAGTTTTATTGAAAAGTTTTGTTGCATATCTTTTCAAAGTCTTAGGGTCAATTTATTTACTAAAAAATCTTGTTATTACTCTGTTATTGTAATCAATGTTTATAATTATAAATAAAATGATAAAACGAATAAAATTATTAAACAATTTATAATTGAGATATAAACCACAGGTTACTTTCATAGTACAGTGTATTTGAAATATGCTTTCTAAAAATCATTAATATTTATATTAATATTTCCATCAAAACCGCATGAGGCTCAATAGAGGGAGTCTATCAGAAATGTAATCTGTTATACTTAATGTTTTGGGATCTTATATGTATATCTTATCTTGACCGATCAACTTTGGGAAAGGAAGTTGTTAACATGAATACCTTAACTACCTTATATTTTGGAGGATCTTATACCTTAGATTATATTATAATTATGGAATATAATCGTATGTAACTATACGTATATACCTGTATGGGTCTCAGTTGCCTGTACACTGAACATTGATAAAATTGATGAATAAAACTACTATGCAAACTGGAGATTGTGATGGGTCTTATATCAATAGACCCCAATAGAAGAATGAGCTGGGATACGCTTATCATTCTATGTATCTCTTACAGGGCATTGTCAAGCCAGACATTGTATTCTTTGGGGAAGATCTGCCTAAGAGGTTCTACTATTACCTGAAGGATTTCCCTCTAGCTGATCTGCTTATAGTTATGGGCACATCATTAGAGGTGAGAGTTACTTCTCTATATGCTTGTTATGTCACCACCAAAAAGTGGTGACATATCATCATGGCCTCTGTTTTTTGTGACAGTGGTTTGTGATCGGCGGTTGGCATCTGTAACAAATGGTGGTGACATTTGACACTTCTCAAAGTTCTACTACTACATCTAAATCTTGTACCTAAATCCTTCTATTATGTACCGTAACAACTGCGTATCAACAATTTCATAGATTTGTATTTCTATATAGGTGGAGCCATTTGCTGGCATTGTGGACTCCACAAGAATGTATGTGCCAAGGCTACTATTCAATATGAAAGCTGTTGGTCCATTCGCTAAGAGGAAACGCATGAATGACGTCATAGCTGAAGGTAAAAATACATGTAATATAAAAGCCCCAAGTTGGTAGAACACTGCAAAAACTAATCTGTTACTCATTATGCCTTTCTGTATTGTAACATTTCTTTTGACTTGAGAATGAAGGCAAGGTCGTAGTTCAAATCTCCATAAGATATGCTCCCCAAAGATAAGTTTATGAATGAGAAGATAACATTCAGACACATTTGATTTAAAAGAGGAGTTAATGTTGATCAATTTCAGTGTATCAAACCCAAACCAAGCTTGATTTGGGTTTAAATAAAGGCATTTACTCAAGGGGCGAGGAGGAAAATTCTCAATAAATGGTGTATAGTTGGTTTGGCAGCATTTTCAGTTAGGGGAGAGTCTTGGATGAAACTTCCACCTAGGTGATAGCTTCACAGAGTGGTAGGAAGTTCTTTTTTTTGAGGAGTTAGCCCCCCACCCCCCAAAAACACCCCACCCTGGGAAAAAAATTGTTCACACTAAATAACCTTAGATATTTTGATGTTTGTAAGTGACATAAATAGATATTATATATATGAATCACTTGCAGTATAATTGATGCTGATAACTCCTAAAGAATTTGAAAATTAGTACAAAGTATGTACCCAAGGGGGCAAATTCGTGACTCATTTTCTTACTATTTTGATTCTAACTTTTCAATTAGACACTGTAAGAGGCTGGAAAAATTCATGTGAAGTGCCCAATAGCAGGGTTAGTAACCCTGAAAGATGCAAAGCCATGGAAGAGGTAGGAGCTGAGCAAAAAATTGTTGATTTTTCGAAAAATTTGACATTTTTGACAGCTGGATTTTGTGTATGACTATAGCTGACCCTTATAATTTCTAGATCCATCCCTCTATGGTGATATTTATGGTTTTATAGTGTGAAACTAAGATGTAAAACATAATTTAGATGGGTTTTAAGGAAGTTAAAGGTTTTAAACAGTCCAAAATTTGAAAAATTGTAAATATAAGGTTTCAAATTTACGAATTCCAGGTATAGCCATGGCTGACCCCTATAGTTTCTAGATCCATCCCTCTGTGATGATATTTATGGTTTTGCCATGTGGAACTAAGATGTAAAACATAATTTAGATGGGTTTTAAGGAAGTTAAAGGTTTTAAACAGTCCAAAATTTGAAAAATTGTAAATATTCACCTTTCCATAAAGTCAGCTCATGAATATTATAATGAGCCGCTTAAAAATCTGTGACGTCAATGGGAGAAACTTTTTCCCGCGAAAAACAAACATTATAACATGTCTCTCATGCATAAAAATATATAGACAGACAATCTATTTTAAGTAAATCTTCAGTGTCATTTGATAAATGACCTGTTCAAATTAAAAACATTTGCTCTTATTCATTTAATCATTGACTTCACTACTCCCATAATTCAATTAACTAAACACGATTACTTCCTATCTATTTCTGCAAGTCATATATACCTGTAAGATCGTATCTTGAAAATATTATACATGAAAACATCGGAATATAGAATTGATATATTCCAATGTATATTTCCCTCTGCGTATCTCCCGATCCAAATATTCCCGGGAAAATGTTTTTTCAATGTAGAAACAGTCAATTTGTTAGAATATCTTGCTAAAGCAAAACTGTCAAAATAGATCCAGCAGACCGTAGAATTTTTCTTAGCCAAAATGTGATGGATTTCTCGAAAATAATGAGAACGCTTAGAAAACAAACCTGAATATGCAGGGTGTCTTGAAAACTTCACTTGTGAAACCTCACTTGTCATAGGATAAATTAGTTATGTGATGATCAGTTTTGAATAATGATCATCGGAAAGATTCGTGTATCTATAATATTTATTGATGATATGTTGACATTGCTGATCGTTATTGACATCGCTGATGGCGAATTAATACCAAAAGGTAACGATATCGTATACATGTATGTATTATGAACAAATTTCATTTGGTAAATAATAAGTAATGGTTTAAGTCTAGCTTCTTGGATAGAAAATTTGGCTTCGAAGTTATCTTTTTAATAGCCAATGGGCGTTCTCCGAGTTTGGAGGATGAAATGAAGGTTTTTTAATTAGGCCCAGTTGCGTTTAGCGAGAAACCCGTTGTACGTTTTTACTGAAATTGCAACTGGAAAAAGTTCCAATGAAAAGAAAGTTAGTTTAGTCATGGGCTTTCATGATCTTGAAAGCCCATGGTTTTAGTTACCATAACATATTCATGCATGCTTTTGAAAATATTTTGTTAATGTGTATTATGGAGACGGGTGTTATGCGGTAAACACGATACAAAAATATGTCATATTCCGCAACGAATATGGCATATTCACTTGCGGTGTATGACAGATTCACCTGCGGTATATGACATACACACTAACCAATGAGAACGCGATACGGAAGTACGCAATTGTTAATTGAACGAATAAGTATACGTTATAAATTATTATAATGATTACTGAATCAATAGAGCTGCGTATCGAATATATCAACTTAGCAGAAGTATCAGTCACCAATCTCGTAATAAACTTTCTATATCAATCCAGGATTCATATATAAGTACTTGACGCACTAACTAATCCAGCGTAGTTTTACATTTAGAGTCGATTCTCGCAACCAATCAAATCAAGGCTTTCTGTATCACGTTTTCACCTGCGGTATATGTCATATTCACCTGCGGTATATGGCATATTCCGCAAGTGAGTATGACATATTCCGCAGGTGAGTATCGGGTATTCACTGAAATCAATGTATCGCATATTCACTGCGGAATATCGCATACTCACCTGCGGAATATGCCATATACCGCAGGTGAGTATGGCATATTCACCCGTATCACAAATACCGCGCAACCATGAATGTATGCCATATACCGCGTAACAACGGGATCGATCCTCAATAAAAAAGTCAAACAAATCGTGTTTCAATTCGATTGGTTTCGTTTGCGCGAATGTCACTCATGGTGAATTTCTGACGGAACTTCTTACTACGACATACAACCATTTAACCATAAAACCGAGTTGTTTGTAACTTCACAATTTACATTTTTTTGTTTACAATCGCACGAGATACGTGAGCCCGGGTATGTGAAGATCTCAGAAGTCTTAATAAACAATAGTTCTGTCAAAAATGATTAATTTAAATTACATAAGGTTCGGAATCAAAGTGCCCCGTCCATATTTCATATTTGATTAAAAATAATTTGTGCATCTGGCAAATAGAATCCTTTTTATTGTAGTTTATTCAAAATATTCCTATGCTGGCTGTACTAATTCTTCAAAACTTTCTACCATTGACGTCATTGATTTGACTCATTTGCATACAACCAATCAGCGCGCCGGAAATTATCGATTTTCTTTACTTTGTGGAAAGGTGAATAAGGTTCCAAATTTACGAATTCCAGGTATAGCCATGGCTGACCCCTATAGGTTCTAGATCCATCCCTCTATGATGATATTTATGGTTTTGCCATGTGGAACTAAGATGTAAAACACAATTTAGATGGGTTTTAAGGAAGTTAAAGGTTTTAAACAAGTCCAAAATTTGAAAAATTGTAAATATAAGGTTTCAAATTTACGAATTCCAGGTATAGCCATGACTGACCCCTATAGGTTCTAGATCAATCCCTCTATGATGATATTTATGGTTTTATAGTGTGGAACTAAGATGTAAAACATAGTTTAGATGGGTTTTAATGAAGTTAAAGGTTTTAAACAAGTCCAAAATTTGAAAAATTGATCTCAAAATTGGTCTCAAATTCACATTATTCAGGTACAGCCTTGAACGAGCCCTGATAATTGAAGGTTATGAGCATAATAGACAGTATCAACTATGATATCATAGCTTAGAGACCAGGTGTAGAATATATACCTGTTGCAGCAGTTAGTCTGCTGGATATAGATGGAGTGAAAAGTCGTGAACTACAGTAAAATCTCTCTAATCTGAATGCTACTGGTATTTGGACCAGCTAAAAGCATTCTAATTAGGAGTGTTTGAATTTTGAGGTTTTTACATCTACAATACAAGTTCTGGATTTTGAAGAAATTTGAATGCATTCTCAATGAAAAATATTAATAATATTTATACTAACCACATAAAAAGCTTCATAGCAAGTTAGACAGGTTAATTTTTCAAATATGAGTGTTCACTGTTCGAAGTAAAAGGTGTTCAGATTTCAATTTTTTAAACATAGGAGTCAATGGGAGGAAAACTTGGACTGGGAAAAGTGTTCAGATTGGTTGGTGTTCAGATTAGTCAGGTGTTGGGATGATTGGTAGGTTTTCACAATAGTCAGATGTTGGGATATACAGGTTTCACTGATGATATATCATTTATACAAGATGATGAACTAGAACTACTGTACTAGGCGCATTTGATAATTTTTACCACAATGTTAATACTATGTCAGGAAAAGAAAGCACCCATGACACTTTGCTTGTACAACTTGAAAATCAACAACACTTTAAGATTTGATAAAGGTGTCTACCAAATGAGTAATCCACATAAATTCAAGCACTTGGCATGCTATTCCCTATGATGCTATTTATAGATTTTTAGTCAATGTTATTGATCAGCTTATTGGTTTCATTACTTTCTCTAGAATCTAAAATTGACTTTGGGTTTATGAGAGTAGTAAATTGGAATGCAGTTATATGAAGAATTGAATTGGCTGGAATTGGACACATGTTGCCTAGCTATGTGTGAGTAAACTATGATCTTATATGGATACAAACAGTTCGTTTGACAATGATCATCTATCTTATCCTGTAAAATCAGAACTTGAAAAGGGGTTTAAAATGGAGATCGATGAAACCATACCACAAATTGATAAAACTTTCGTGATCGATGCAATGGCTATGACAAAAGGAAAATTAAGATTAACTTATATGTTGAAATTTGGAGAGTTTTGGAAAGCTATATTTGACTACCCCATCAAATCTAGTAAAGGAGCCCAAAGAATAGATTTCATATTAGACTCCTAGTAGTCTCCATCAGTAAAGGATTCTGAAAGAATGCAAAGAATGGATGCTTCCCCTACTGAACTTTAATCCAAAGAAGAAAGGACAAGGTGCAATTATTGGCAAATATCCCTATGGTCAAAATGAATCATTTATAGGTGTAACATGAAGAATAAAATGTCATATAATACTTTGGAAAATATTAAAGTGCTCGGACACACATAAGCTGAGATAGGGATCATTTCGTTCAGTAAGGTTGTATTGACTTACATGGGGCTGTGCACCATTGACTTAACATGAGGATATCAGCAGATCCCAATAGAGGCCATTGGTTTCAATTGATTATCACAGAAATACCAAAAATACACTATGACCTGAATCGATTGCAAACTTAATAATTTCACAATACGACACAAATGGTTTATCTCATCAAATGTGCAAATATGAAGTTTGCAATCGATTCAGGTCATACTTAAAATTAAAAGATTGTTCATTTTTTCATCATTTTTTCCCCTACAAAATGGCTATAGAAAAATGCTCCAAAAACAACTTTTACACTTATCAAATATCATACAAGTTTGTAAAACCAAAGATTATACTATTATATTTCATTATGTAGTAACATATTTGGATAAGATGCAGGGATGCGTAGGATGTAAATGGATTTTGACAGACACAAAAATACTTCCTGGTTTGGAATCTATGCCTCTACACTTCATGATTGAATTATTTAGGACAGTCACATGTTGGATTTTTGCTATTTTCTGAGGATTTGAGGAGGTGCATATGTTAGGCCAATGCATTTCCTCCAGGAAAAGCACTCATAGAGATGATAAAATAATTTCTATTTGAGACAGGGTGCAAACAACCCACCCACATGCATCAATATGTTGTGTTTTGATGCACAGTTAACCCCTTTAAAGAAGAAATGCATTCCATCAGGGGTTTAAAAGATATCAAATATGGGTGACCAAAATTAAGCTGAAAGTAATGGAGCACCTGAGTTTTCCCTATGGGAAAATAACAGGAAAATATTGTTTTCTGCCTATCTAAAAGAAATTTATCATTCCTTTTTATGGGTTAACTATGTCTCAAAACGCAACATATTGATGCAACAAAAATTGAAAAAAGCAGGGGTGAAAGAGCTTGAAAATCAGGACAACATTTCCGAAAAAAACATGTGGGTGGATTGTTTGCACCTTCGCTGTCTCAAAGTCCAAACTATTTTATCATCCATAAGAGTTCTTTTCCTGTAGGTAATGGATTGGCCTATCATATTCACCTGCTTAAATCCTCAGAAAACAGACAAATCTAACATATGACTGTCTGAAATATGTTGCAATACTTTCTGTGCTCCTTTGAGACCTGATATTTCTCAATTTTTCAAACATTGCACTTGTTAAAATTCTTAAACTTCCTTAAAATTCATCTTCAGTATGTTTTACTTCTTAGTTTCACACTCTAAAAATATATGTTTCATCATAGAGGTATGGATGAAAAAGCCATAAGGGCCATCCATGGCTGTACCTTATATTTACAATTTTTCAAATTTTGGACTGTGTTTAAAATCTTTAACTTCCTTAAAACCCATCTAAATTATGTTCTGCATCTTTAGTTCCATACTACAAAACCATAAATATCACCAAAGAGGGATGGATTTAGAAACTATAGAGGCCGACCATGGCTATACCTGGAATTCGTAAATTTGAAACCTTATATTTACAATTTTTCAAATTTTGGACTTGTTTAAAACCTTTAACTTCCTTAAAACCCATCTAAATTATGTTTCACATCTTAGTTCCACATGGCAAAACCATAAATATCATCATAGAGGGATGGATCTAGAACCTATAGGGGTCAACCATGGCTATACCTGGAATTCGTAAATTTGAAACCTTATATTTACAATTTTTCAAATTTTGGACTTGTTTAAAACCTTTAACTTCCTTAAAACCCATCTAAATTATGTTTTACATCTTAGTTCCACATGGCAAAACCATAAATATCATCACAGAGGGATGGATCTAGAAACTATAGGGGTCAACCATGGCTATACCTGGAATTCGTAAATTTGAAACCTTATATTTACAATTTTTCAAATTTTGGACTTGTTTAAAACCTTTAACTTCCTTAAAACCCATCTAAATTATGTTTTACATCTTAGTTTCACACTATAAAACCATAAATATCATCATAGAGGGATGAATCTAGAAATTATAAGGGTCAGCTATAGTCATACACAAAATCCAGCTGTCAGAAATGTCAAATTTTTCGAAAAATCAACAATTTTTTTCTCAGCTCCTACCTCTTCCATGGCTTTGTATCTTTCAGGGTTACTAACTCTGCTATTGGGCACTTCACATGAATTTTTCCAGCCTCTTACAGTGTCTAATTGAAAAGTTAGAATCAAAATAGTAAGAAAATGAGTCACGAATTTGCCCCCTGGGGTACATACTTTGTACTAATTTTCAAATTCTTTAGGAGTTATCAGCATCAATTATACTGCAAGTGATTCATATATATAATATCTATGTATGTCACTTACAAACATCAAAATATCTAAGGTTATTTAGTGTGAACAATTTTTTTCCCAGGGTGGGGTGTTTTTGGGGGGTGGGGGGCTAACTCCTCAATAAAAAGAACTTCCTACCACTCTGTGAAGCTATCACCTAGGTGGAAGTTTCATCCAAGACTCTCCCCTAACTGAAAATGCTGCCAAACCAACTATACACCATTTATTGAGAATTTTCCTCCTCGCCCCTTGAGTAATTATGAATTTATGATAATACAACTGAGCTTATGTGTGCTCAATCGCTGTATACATTTTACATGAAATGGAATGGAACAATTATACATGTACTTGATTTGTGTTTAACTCTTTAGGGGACCTGGTGGGAAATGTTAAGAGATTTGCCAAAATACTTGGCTGGAAGACTTCCATGGAGCAGCTCGTTCAGGAGTCACAAAAACAGGTACATGAAAAGTTGTTAAATGTAAAATAAAATCCCAAATATATTTGTCTATGTTTCACACAATTTTATGTCAGATAGCTAGATTAACACATGTGCAATAGCCTGTTTTAATTTCATTTTGAAATTGACACACTTGTGTCCTTTAATTTAGAAATGGCCACCAATGTTCTTCTTGACCAATGTCCATTATTACTTAAAGTCTTTTATAATCAATGTTATTGGTGTCCCTTATTAATAAACGGACCTAAAGTTCCTAAACATAAAGACCAAGACTTTATATAATTTTCATCTTCACTTTATTTGCTAATTTCCAATTGTACAAAGTTCTACACAATTCCATTTCTTCAGATCTTAAACATTCCTCCACTTTCCAAACCCATCTTACTTTTCTATCTAGCCCTCATATAACTTTCTAACCTGATCGTATCATTCTTAATAGTCCTCAGTTTTTGCTTGTCTCATTTACACACATTTATATACTCAGACATTTAGTCTACTACATAAACTAAACTTTCGATCTCAGCAACCTCAAAGGCCTATTATTCTACCTCATATTTTCTACCTCTATTTTCTCCTTTACCTCTGGGAAAACGTTCAAACCATTCTCTCTAAGAGAATAGATTCTGCTCGAGACACTTTGCCACACCAAATTCCACAGGAGGTACTTTCCCACTCCTGTAGAAGGTTTCCCAAAATAGATAACACATAAACCGCTAAGAATTACATTGCATAAATCAACCTCCTTTGGAATGCAATGTGGAAAAGATTCTGTGAGAAGTATTGTTTACATAATGCAATTCCTTATGATATGAATGTTCTTGTCGAAATGATAAACAGACACATACCGTATTCGTTAAATTGAGTCAATTTGAAGCTCAACACCATTACCTTATTCGTTACTAAAACTGTCCTTAATATTGCATCATTTTAACCTTTCTTATATTACTCACACTTGCTTAATTTAAATATTTTTATTTTCACTAGTTGATTTCAAAACATCCATGTTTTGTTTTAAATATACTGATTAACAAAAGCTGAAAAATCAAAAGTAACCTAATTTTTCAGGTGCAAGATCCTCTCCCAAATAGCAAAGCTCCACCTCTTAACTTGCAGAAGAACCAAGCTATAGAGATGAAAATTAAGCCCGCAATAACAGAGGATGACCCTGTGAAAACTAATGACAATCCTGCAACAAGCAAGCCAGGGGCTGTGGTAAATAATGGAGAGGCTGTGATAAAAGGTGCAAATACATGTACAATTGAGAACCATAATCGTTCAAAGCAATCTCCGAGTCCATCATCGGACAAGAGTAAAAACTCAAGTTTTGCAGGACTCAGTAGGCCAAAACAAAATTATCATACATTTAGTGCAAATTCAAGCATGACCGTTAATCCTAGTCACAGTAGTATACGTACCCTCCCTTCACCAAAAAAGACGACACCACCCCCGAGGGTGGGGATATCCCATGGAGGTATAGGCTACAGGGGAACACGAAAGGTGGTGGAGTCAAGTAGTGATGATGATACATCTGATGATGAGTCCTCAGATAGCACCGGCTGAGGGTTAGATAAATCAAATGTGGTGGAATGAGGGGTTTAATGAAGGGGTTGCCACTGTTCAGGCCTGTAGCCAGCTGTTGTTAAGTGAGTCACTCTTCAAAAAATTCCAGGGGGTACACATGGAAAGCGTCATGATTTTTAACTAATTTTTGTCCAGGGAGATTCTCAAATCCCCCAAATCCTCTTTGCAACGGCCTGGTAGCAGATGACAAAAAAAAGGATTGTTGTCAACTGACTGATAACTAAGAATACTGTTTCAAGTCGTTTTCTGAGCTTACAATACATTGTACTTATATACAATAGATCCAGAGTCTCACTAGATCCCCAGGTGACAACAATTGTATTAAGTGAACTAAAATAGGAAACAATTAGTTATTCTGTGTTCAAAAAAATCTTTGAACATGTCCATGTATGCATACATGTAATATGCTTACGCAATTTCAGTGTCACCATGAAAAATATATAAATTATCATTTTTTAGTAATATTTATGGAATTACAATGTCGTCACCACTAAAAGCGTATGCATGATTATTTTAGTATTTATAGAATTGAAATATTTTCAACATAGTCTATATTCTCAGATATTGCAGTATGTGTTTATATTATGTACTTGGACATGATATGCAGTATGCACCATAGAACGTGGGAATATCATAAAATGTAAATTTGAAATAACTTGAACAGATTTAAATATTTATATTTGAATTATGAAAGAAGATTAAAATTTTTGACTGTATTAAAATTCAGAAATAGGTAAAATACAGATTTGGTGCACTCTAATCAAATATTATGTTGTGAAAATTGTGAAATAAAGTTCTAAACATCTTAACCCAATGAAAAAAACCTGGCTATGCCACTGTAGATTCATGGGAGGAAACACAATCAAATTTTATCAAAAAGTTCAGACATTTTTTATTGTGACAGGAAATTTGAATTCGGGGCTGGACGTCTTGCTCCTTCATTGGGCATGGCCGGATTGGGCGGTAGATTTAGAAGCTGGGGTATATGGGATCTAATCCACCAAATTAAACTTCAGCCCTGAATCCGCCAATTGAAATAGCCGCAAATATTTGAAATAGAGCAAATCTGCCAAATTAAGTGGCGTCAATTTAAGTGTATCTACAGTAACATGTTTCGATGCAAATCCATGCATCTTCAGCAGTTGTTTCAGAGTAAAAGCCACTCATAACATCTTTTAATTCAACGTTGCAATCGCAAGAAGATGATCGGACCTCTCGCTTTATGATGGTCAATTAATTTCTGTTTACCCCTCGTAGAACCTGATGAATAAATGTAAAACATTTCACAAAATGTGCATGTACAAAAGATACACAAAGAGTGACCAATATGAGCTGAATACCATGTATCTCATATACACAAAGGTCTAGAGCAACCAACATGAGATAAAAATGCTAATATTCTAAATATGCGACATTTTATAGCGCTTTTGCTTCCATTGGTAGATTAACTTTAATAACCCGAGGTCCGAGAATGAAGTACGCTAGTAAACTGTATTAAAATTGTATTTCATATAACATATGCCAAACATTTCTCCATCTTTTAAGCCCTATCCATGCGTAAGTAGGCCAGTGCACATCTAGTTAAATTGATAACGTATTCCCGATCGCGCAGTTTATAGTTTTGTTTATTAATTCCTTACAAAATAAAAGCTGACATACTTTAATGATTTAATCATCATATTAATGGGCGATTACTGCACATCTTGTTCTGTATAAATAATGAATTCATGTCAAATCTGGAAACACGTTTTAGAGATGCAATAAAAACCGTGTATATATAACTAGACATTGGATAGTATTCACTTTTGTGAAAAGTGTAGAGACATGTTTACAATGACAAGTGCAGTATTAAGTTAATAAGTTAAAAAAAGATAAATTTACTGACAATTGGATGAGTTTAACTACCAAGAACTGGAATACTTTGCCAAGAGCTGGAACAATTTACCAAGAACTGAATAGCAATATAAAATACAATTGTAGAAAAACACAACTCATACAATAATTTGTGATAAACAGTCATATCTGAAAATGGTTCAATATTTAGCGCAAGTACCTAGGTATTCATGCAGAATACTTGCACTCTTTATATTAATGATTTTAATTTTGATTACTACATTTAAGATTAACAATTTTGATGAGTATGTAAGCAAAGATGTAAATTTTCTGGATTCCAAGCTTCTGAAAAACCCAAGCAGGGAAAAGTCTGAACTGTCTACGAAGGTTAATTCGGGAACAGCTTCAGTGAAACGAGAAGGTGGCGACAAAAATCCAATCAATTCTAAAGACAGTCTTGAATTTAAAACCGATGGGAATTCCACTGGCAGACGTAATATTGCACAAATCCCCATTGACGTAAGGGTTAAAAAACTCCCTGGGGCCATAATCATTGGAGTGCAGAAATGTGGAACTGGGGCTCTCAAGACATATTTGAATCTCCATCCGAATATCAGAGTTGCAAGAGGTGAACCCCATTTCTTTGACTTAAAAATTAATCACAAAGCACAATTCCAAGAGGAAATGAAAAGGTATCTCAAACTCCTCCCAAAGGCATTCCCAAACGAAACGGTCCTCGAGAAAACGCCGAAATATTTTGACATGATTGACCCACATGACCTATATAGAATGAACCCTGCTTTGAAGCTGATTCTTCTGGTTTGTGACCCCGTGAGAAGGGTAATGTCAGCCTACTTACATAACATTTTCATCGGCATGTATTCGAAACATAAATCATTCGAAAAGTACGTATTTGATAAAAATGGTCAAGTTATTCCAACAGCGGAGATTGTACGTAGAAGTATATATGATGAACCACTGAAAAGACACCTGAAATATTTCCCTCGCAAACAATTTCATATCATGGAGAACACATTTCTACTCCAAAAGCCGACTTTGGCAATGCAGGAAATTGAGAAATTTCTTGGAATACAGAAATTCTATACAAATGAAACATTTTATTTCAACAAGAATATAGGATACTACTGTATCAGCCCATCTATTCAGCCATTTAATCGGGGATGTCTTTCAAAAACTAAATACAGAGTCCACCCCAATATCAGTGAAGAAAATGTATTCAAACTAAAGCGTTTCTTTCAACCGAGCAATGACAATTTCATAAAACTCACAGGCAAGAGTATGCCATCTTTAAAATATTTTCGATGAAAAAACTAATTTTCATTATACAGGGTGATCCAGAAGTAACGTCAAAGACATTGTAATTTCAAAAGTATTCATCAGATCTTCATGAAATTTGGTATACATGTACCCACAACATTTCTGAGTTACCATCTCAAAGATTGGAATTCAATCATTTCATTGGTTGAAATTATGGTTGCTATAGTAACCCGATATCGCGTAACCCGGGGCAAATTGAAGAGAAACCATAACGTTTTTGTGAATTTCTCTAATTTAAAAAGTCAGTAACATTTGAAAATGTTCATTGTTTGTTTTCTATGATTTTTATATTTGTTGCCATGGTAACAAATATGTAATAGTTGTGATGTCACAATAGGCATTCATAAAAAGCTTTCAATTTCTTTGAATTGCTTCCATCATCCATGACAAATACTAACATGACCAAGGACACTAACCCACCCAATTCAAGATGGCGCCAAGTCAGAGTAAAATAGAGCAAAGAACAAACATTAAGTTCTGTGTAAAGTTGGGGAAAGGTGTAAAAGAGACTATAAGACAGATAAAGAAGGCATATGGTAAAGCTGCCATTGCTGAGAGAAACATTTACAGGTGGTTTAACAAGTATTCCAGTGGATATGATGAAGTGGTAGACAAGCAGCGAGGAGGCAGGCCAGTGTCGTCATTCGATGATCAAACCATCAAAGCAATTGAAGCTGATGTTATGGACAATAGGCAAATTTCTATCAGAGAATTGGCTGAAAAACACGATCTGAGCTATGGGACTGTGCAACGGATACTGACAAAGAACTGTCTGTTAAAGAAGGTGTCTGCTAAATGGGTGCCGCATGACTTGACACAGGAGCAGAAAGACCGGCGTGTTAGGCCTAAGGCTTCAAGGGACTTTCTTGCAAAATATCGGAGAGATGGAGATGACTTTCTTAACAAGATCATTACGAGTGACGAATCATTGCTATCATTCTACATCCCAGAGACCACGCAACAAAGTTCATCGTGGAAACATGACAACTCCCCAACACCAACCAAGCCTAAAATAGTACCAGGAATTCCACAAAAGAAACAAATGGTTGTGACATTCTTTGACATTAGAGGAATGGTGTTAACCCATTTTGTTCCCATTGGCCAGAGAATTAATGCCGTTTACATTGCAAAGGTAAGATATCATTTGTTCTAATAATACATCATACTGTGAATTTTATTTTTAAATTAAAGTATTTAAATGTTGTTCACTGTCAATATAATTATAACTCCATGGCCATGATTCAAATCCAAATCCAATCAATGAAACAACTGGTTTAACAACCATTAAACATTTGTTTTTCAGGTTCTGAAGCGTGATCTTCAACGTTCCCTGAGGAAAAAGCGTCCCGGACATCTGCAGCAGTTTATCTTGCATTGGGACAATGCCCCTACGCACACTGCAATCCTGACCAGCAACACAGTCCAAACACTTGGATTTCAACAACTTGAACATGCCCCTTATTCACCTGATCTTGCCCCCAGTGACTTTTATTTGTATGGGGAACTAAAAAGAAACCTTAGTGGAAATAATTTTCAATCCTGTGAGGAATTGAAAAATGCCGTAGTACTAGCCCTACAAGGAATGAGTTCTAATGGATTTAATTCTGTGTTCAAGGAATGGGTATCCAGACATGAGAAATGTGTTGCAAATGGTGGCAATTATGTAGAATGAACTATTATTAGTAACTGTGCAATAGTATGATTTATATTGTTGTGAAATAAAATGTTGAGGATATAACAATTTCAGATCTTGTTGATATTTTGAGATTACGAATTACAAGTAATTTGCCCCGGGTTACGCGATATCGGGTTACTATAGCAACCATAATTTCAACCAATGAAATGATTGAATTCCAATCTTTGAGATGGTAACTCAGAAATGTTGTGGGTACATGTATACCAAATTTCATGAAGATCTGATGAATACTTTTGAAATTACAACATCTTTGACGTTACTTCTGGATCACCCTGTATTTCAAAGCATATAGCCCTACAATATGTCTTGTACTATATGGTAATTGGCATTGATGGGGCGACACAAATTTTATATTTACTACTCATGCTATATATACTTGTGCATCAATAAATGAAGCTATGGGAATTCTCCTTTTCGCGCCTCGCTCTTCATACGAGGAGACACAGAAGTCTCCTTATATGCTTGCTAGCACTGATCTGTTATGTACAGAAGTGGAAATACACTTAGCAGTCCAAATGGTTATAATTATAGAATTTTTAAAAGTACGTTTGAACAAGAAAGGTATTTTAATGCGAGTTTACCAAATTGTACTTTGAATATTTTATGTAAGTTTAGGACAGGGAATCATAAGCTTCCTATTGAGAGAGGTCGGTATAAATGTTATATAAAATTTCTCATCTCGTCATTGTAAAGAAAAAAAGCTTTACTTTAAAATGACATAAATTTTTGTCCCTAAATCTTGACACTGATGATAAATGTATAGAACGTATGAATAGATTTTGTGACTTATGCGAATCAGATAAGTTATTATGGAATGTACATCTCTTCAGTATTAAAGAATTCAATTTTTGCCTAGATATTTCTGTAACAATGTTGATACCTTGAAGTTTGGCCAACTAATGAGTATTAGGAAAAGAAAGTTAATTAGTAAATTAAACTTGTACATTTTATTAAAGAGGCAAATGTATTTATGACTAAGCATCATTAGTGGTAAATCCTGTATTTATTTAAAAAGTGTTAAGCTATGGTGTAGAGATTGGTTGTTATTGTGTCGAAGTCGAAAATTTGAAAATTGTGTTATTAATGTGATATAAGGTAGATAATGTAAGGGTTGGTTTCCAATAGATTGGTTAGAATTGTTTTGATAAAATAATATGGAACTGTATATATTTCTTACATTACTCTTAATTACTGTTGCTAAAATTTGTACTGCTTGAGACTCTAATACCCTAAATTGGGTGAAGAGGAATAAATAAAATCTAAATCTAAATGAGGCATGATCGGCTTTAGTGAATATAAATTGCACGATATAACATGTGAAATATAAGCTTTTTATCCCATCGAACGAAATTCCATGGGATATAGAGAACGGCCCCGCTCGTGCGTACACAAACGTAGGCGAGCGATTTTGTTCATATTTGCAATTGGTATGTGAATGCATAGCACACTGTCCTATGACACTTTTTGCGTGTGTTATTTTTACTTTAGTTTTTTAATATGTACTTACTTACTTATTTAGAACCATATTACAGTTTCTTATGACAATTTGGCCAGTGAGTGGCCATTTTGGAAAATGGTGGCCATTACGATTTTTGCTATAACTGAAAAAGTAGTTGGGCGATTTTGTAAAAATAGCAGCAATAACTGTTCAAGGGGATTTGGTACGCCTTGGCGTAGCTGTTATCTAGTTTAGTTTACATCTATACAAAATTTGGATGCATCCAACTAATGTAATTTTAACTGTATTTTGGACAAAACTTATCGAAAAATATTTTTAAAAAATTTCGATTAGCCGAGTACCAGTGTACACGATTTGCACTACGCCACAAAAGGTATGCAATGAGTTAAATTAAATGACAAATAAATAAATAAGGGTTATGTACTGGGAGGTTTTGGATATGGGGTTTATCCAGAGGGAGATATGCATATCTACCTGAGGGACCGTAGGGACCGAAGGTAGATTTGCATATCTCACGAGGGATGAACCCCATATCCAAACCGACCGTACATAACTGCTTTATCCTATGCCGAGTAGAGTTTTCTAACTTTCTTTCAATTTTTTCAATTTTTTTCACATTTTTCTAATCTTTTTTAAATTTTTTCAAATTTTTTCTATTTTTTTAAAATTTTTTCAATTTTTATTGTTTTCAAATTTTTTTCTCATTTTTTATTTTTTTCGAAGCGGGAAGATATGCCATGGAGCGGGAGATATGGCGGGAGATATGGAGGTTCAGGATATGGAAACCTCAAAATCAGGATACGGGATATATCTTACCAACTTATCTCCCTATAACTCTACTTGGCATAGGATAAGGTAGTATATATCCCCTCCACGTTAAATACAGCTCTTTGGAACTTCACAAGATATCCTTTGTTTTATTACCGGACTCAAGTCTAAAATCATGTTCTTTCTTGTAAGTAAATAGAAATGCGATTAGGAGATGAGTGAACAGATCGACGTCTTTATTGATCCAGTCGCCATCGCCATCTATCGGGGGAACAGAGTACTAGAAATCAAAACAAGATAATTGTACCTTTTTATGGGAGTATTGGATAACCAGTGTGTATAGACAGGCGCTGTGTTTATTTAGGGATGAGTACGATGGAGATGTCATATTTAAAACCAGGGAGATCGTACCAAACGGGGGAGACATTGGATTCACCAGTAAGTACTAATTTGCCGAAATACTCTAAGCGCAAGTTCTATGTCTCATGCCATTGGAAATGCGTCAGATTTTGATGGCGAATGAATTCATTTTTAGAGAAATTCTGAAGATATAAAAGACCTAAGTTATTCCTTCATATATATATTTGAGTGGTATTAAAAATAGTAAACACGACATGGGGAAAAACCAAAACACATAAACTTTATTGGCATTCAAGATCAAATAAATTCTAATTATTTGCCTGCATTCGTTCGACTTTACTTCTAAAAGAGAGCTCCGTCTTCCAGTCACTGGACTCTGCGCGCAGGGTAAAAATTCTCTAATATCTGATTTGATATCATCGTGTTTATGCGAATCTGATTAACGTATTTATATATATCATTTAAGTATTGAAATAACATTCAAATAAGTGCTATTTTTATTCAAAAGATTATCCCAATGCTAAAGTTCGAGATGAGAAAATGAATCAGTAGCTTATACATGTTCCTCATGCATTGGCACTAGCTTTTCGTCTACCGTATTTATAAAAATGTTAAAATGTTAATTTCATCACTCGATATATATCACGGTGTTATAGCATGACGGTTACGACACCTCTGAAAACGAGATTAGACGACTACGATCACTGATTTATCCAATAAAATGGCCGCAATATAACAGAAAACTAAGGTTGGTGCAGTATTTTCTTCTACTGTGTATCAATGAGAGGATGAACGATTTTTGTAGACAACGCATTCGGTGATGCATTTAGTAATGTATATATATTATGAACGTATCTTTGCAAATTGATGCCCGGGGATAACATGAAATAAGCGAAAAACTGTTGAGTTTGAAATTCAAAACTACACAAAATTTAGTAATTTGTTTATTTTCGTCGTTAGGGCATGGTCTACATTGCCTAACGACCTCGGGGTATATAGATGTAACCTACATACGATCATAAAAAGCCAATTGAGCATTGGAAACCACCTAATATGTTCTACTTAAGCCATAATATTGTATTTTTAATTTGTGGTTACGCCAAATATTGATTAACGGTTACGCGAACCTCGTTCAAATATGCATCCCAAATTCATTGTTATTAATTTTGTCATATTCATCAGTACTTGATGCTAATTCTTCTTTTGCCTCTTCATTGCTATCTTTTTGACTTAAATTGGTTTCATTAATAAAGCAAGACACGATTTTTTCCTTGCCCTATAGAGGCTCAAACAAAAGCGTCTCTTGCGGGTCCTGAAAACAAATGTAAGCAATTCAATATTCCATTTCTTACCCATTATAACAATTACATGGAAAGAGGCTATCAGAACTAGCAACCTTAACTTGAAAGATGTACATGCACGTAACCGTCCGCTAAATATATAATGTACGACTAATACAATGCGTTACCGTCCATAGAATTCATACGTAGTCGTCTAACGACATTGCGTTTGAAACCTTATTATTTATAATATGACCACGTTCCTGTTCTGGATTTGTCATTTTATGGCTTGTTTATACACCGTTTACTTACTGTTAATGGTTTGAGTGGCTCTGAGGCACATATACTGAAAAATCACGAGAATGGACTAAAAAATATGAACTTGGACATCTCAGTCGGTAAGTTTACAGCTTATATTCCGTTTCTAGTAAACCACCTGGCAGATTTGACCCAGTCTTTATAACCATCCATATATACGTCACCGAATAGAACTAGTTAAAAAGGAAATCCTATCTGTGAATCTTGCCTACAGGCGAGAAAGAGGACATGCTGTCTTTCCCATCCGCCATTTTTTGTTATCGTTACCGCAAAATTTTGGAAATCGCCTTGTCGTAGCCGTCATGCTATAACACCGTGTATATATTGACTTAAACGACTACAAAGAGAAAATACATTATACAGCGGAACCTGTCTTAGTGAACACCTCTCTCCAGTGAACATCTGTGTCTGGTGAACACGTCTCTCTCGTGAACAACACATGTGTCTGAAGAACACCTCTCTCTAGTGAACACCTGTGTCTGGTGAACACCTCTCTCTAGTGAACACCTGTGTCTAGTGAACACTTCTCTCTAGTAAACACCTGTGTCTGGTGAACACCTCTCTCTAGTGAACACCTCTCTTTAGTGAACACATGTGTCTAGTGAACACCCCTGCACAGAACATACTCCACTGACTTCTATATAAATTACCCTCTCTATAGCGAACACGTACAGTAGCAATGCACAGATTTCAATATTCACTAAGGTTTTACTGTAAATACATTATGACATTATGATTCTATTCTGAAGACATTCTCTTTATATCTCAATAGCTTTCTCAATAAGTTACCTAAGGCCATTGCAAAATAAATGTATGTTTTGTGATGCCTGTCTGATTATTTCCCAAGCTCCTTCAATTTCTTTATGACTTTTGACATTCTGCGAAACAGTTCGCTCTATGCGTTCCTGCATACCAGAAAGTTTGAGTAATTCATACACGCTAGTCTATTTTGAGAATTCTGATCGCCTGATTGATGACAAAATTTCACCAAACAAATATTTAACATGTAGATGCCTTAATAATCTATCTCTTCCTGGAGCACAGTTCAAATTGAGGTTCGGAAATTAGATTGATGGAATTAATATCAAACCCACTTAAGAATTAGGAAGACTACTTTGCATTGCTTCCCATCAGCCAATATAAATTATATATAATACCTACGTCAACCGGGTATGCCATTTTGTTCGTGCAAGCTGTATTGATCGTGAGTGAAATAAGCAAAGATGGGCATATCATGACTAGACAGTACGTCACGTCAATTTTGCGCTCGTGACTATCAGACTATACGGTTCCAACGTCAATTTTGTCTTTACCGCGCGTGTGTCCATCTGGTTTACAAGTCGATATAGTATGGTTCCATTTTCAACGTCATATCAAGTATAAATACAGATTAATTTTAAGTGTGCACGTGAACCTACAAAGTACATAAAACTACATTTTACCGGTATGTGGCTTTGCAGTTACCACGTCACGTCAATTTTGTGTTATTGTTTAGTTCCTACATCACGTCAACTTTGTGTGACTATACAGCTCATATACGTTACAATTTGGTGTTACTATTTGTTCCTACATCACGTCAACTTTGTGTGACTATACAGCACCCATGTCGCGTCAATTTTGTGTTACTATTTGTTCCTACACCACGTCAACTTTGTGTGACTATACAGCTCATATACGTTACAATTTGGTGTTACTATTTGTTCATACTTATCACGTCAACTTTGTGTGACTATACAGCTCATATACGTTACGACAATTTTGTGTTACTATTTGTTCCTACATCACGTCAACTTTGTGTGACTATACAGCTCATATACGTTACAATTTGGTGTTACTATTTGTTCCTACATAACGTCAACTTTGTGTGACTATACATCACCCACGTCGAGTCAATTTTGTGTTACTATTTGTTCCTACATCACGTCAACTTTGTGTGACTATACAGCTCATATACGTTACGACAATTTTGTGTTACTATTTGTTCCTACAACAATTTTTTGTTATTATTTGTTCCTACATCACGTCAACTTTGTGTGACCATACAACAACCACGTTACGACAATCTTGTGTTACCATTTGTTTCTACACCATGTCAACTTTGTGTGACTATACAGCTCATATACGTTACGACAATTTTGTGTTACTATTTGTTCCTACAACAATTTTGTGTTACTATTTGTTCCTACACCATGTCAACTTTGTGTGACTATACAGCTCATATGCGTTACGAAAATTTTGTGTTACTTTTTGTTCCTACAACAATTTTTTGTTACTATTTGTTCCTACATCACGTCAACTTTGTGTGACCATACAACAACCACGTTACGACAATTTTGTGCTACCATTTGTTTCTACATCACGTCAACTCTGTGTGACTATACAGCTCATATACGTTACAATTTGGTGTTACTATTTGTTCCTACATCACGTCAACTTTGTGTGACTATACAGCACCCATGTCGCGTCAATTTTGTGTTACTATTTGTTCCTACACCATGTCAACTTTGTGTGACTATACAGCTCATATACGTTACGAAAATTTTGTGTTACTTTTTGTTCCTACAACAATTTTTTGTTACTATTTGTTCCTACATCACGTCAACATTGTGTGACCATACAACAACCACGTTACGACAATCTTGTGTTACCATTTGTTTCTACACCACGTCAACTTTGTGTGACTATACAGCTCATATACGTTACGACAATTTTGTGCTACCATTTGTCTCTACATCACGTCAACTCTGTGTGACTATACAGCTCATATACGTTACGACAATTTTGTGTTACTATTTGTTCCTACATCAATTAGGGTAAATGGGTAGATGGTTTCAAACAGAATGAAGAAATGCACTTTGTTTAATAACAACCGTCGGTGAGTAGGGCGAGTTTGCATGCTTTTGAATAAATATTCATATTTCTCGAGACGCATGTATGACGAAATTAGCCACAACTTTGAAAATTATGGCAATGGTGATGACAGAGATGAATGTGATGATGATTACAAGCACTGAAATCATCATTTGGGATTTGGCATTTGCATTTTGGGTCACGTTCTACATTTAACAAGATCATTTTGAAGTCCGAATGTTTTTTTTAAATTTTTTTTATTACTATAAAAAGTATTTACATAATGCTCACTGCATTATATGCGAGTTCAACGTTTTCAACATTATTGATGGGACATTTGATGCGGACACTGCTATATTTGAACATGTTTTGGCATTAGCGTTGTGGGAGTCTTTGATTTCTTGGGAAATGATGTCTTCTGCAGAAAACTTGGCTTCTTCAACATTTGGGCATGGTCCTTCATGATTGTTACACATTTTAATACACAGACCCTTTAATACAGCCCAAGATCAGAACTAGTTTTGTTTATGGTTGCTTGGCTTTCTAAACACAATTCTGGTTTTGGACCCGGAGCATCAACAATAATAAATGTTGAAACATCATTAAAATAATTTCATTTTTCAATTTTAA